TTGCTTACTTCTGTATAGGAAATGCTCTATGGAGGCCATCACGCTATTGGACAGTTATGAATGTGTAACCTAGTTACTTGCATGTGTTTCTTATTTATAATCTCTATAYAGTTCYGCAAAAGTCCTCCAGTCTCTGTTTACCAGAAGCAACTGTTGTGGTCAATTTAGGGGGGGGGGGTCGGGGGGTGTCTATTCTCCTGTTAATTAGAAAGCAGCTAGCTAACAGCCCTTACCCCCCCCCCCACCCCAATCAATCTACAGTAGGATTCCTACCATTGTTAGTAAAGCATGATTAGAAAGATYAGTGAGAAATATTAAGGAGACCTACCTAATTCAAAGAGGTTTAGTCAATTAACTGCTTGATTTAATTCTAAATTGATGATGTCTCTTTTAATGATGACATAGCTCCTCTTGCATGAAGTTCTCCAGATAATTTATTCTCTGGCAAAGTAGTTAAAGAACATTGCCAGAATCTATAAATAGGCATACGGCTTGCTTTCCTCTGTCCATCAAACATGCTTTAAAATCCCAGGAAATCTTTTTTAAACAACAATATAGCAAAACCATACCCTGAAACAATGTGTTAAACTACCAAACTGCTGAACTTGCTGGCCGAAAGGTTGGCGATTTGAATCCTGGGAGCGGGGTGAGCTCCTGCTGTTAGCCCCAGCTTTTGCCAGCCTAGCAGGTCAAAAACAAGCAAATGTGAGTAGACCAATAGGTACCGCTTCTGTGGGAAGGTAATGGTGCTCCATGCAGTCATGCTGGCCACATGACCTTGGAGGTGTCTATGGACAATGCTGGCTCTTCGACTTAGAAATAGAGATGAGCACCACCCCCTAGAGTCGGACACGACTGGACTTAATGTCAGGGGAAATGTTTACCTTTTTAAAAATACTTTGTTAACATTCATTCTGAAATGGAAAACAGAGGGATCAATATTTATCATAAAAGGATAGAGCCACTTTGGATCTTAATCCTGAGGAAGAATGCAGGGAAGAATAATAATACTCAAGACATTTTTCCGTTCATAAGGGCTTTCACAGGGCAAGCTGACCTTGTGACCTGTAAGCATGGTTAGCTTAGAAATAAAATCAGTATATGCATGTTCCAAGTGTTTTGTGTGTATTGTGTTAGTGGTCTTACAACAACCCCATAAAACGGGTAATATTCATCACCATAGGCTATCACTCATAACTGAGTATGTTTTCCAGTGGTAGAGTCTTGGCAATGGGTCCATAAGTGACTGCGGAGACCTATTACGGATCCACATGGTCTTTTGCAATGAGCACATAGGTTTTCAGATGGAATATAGACACAAGGGTCTGTTTGACACAACTTTTTATTGATATTTCCCCCCTTTCGCCCTATATGTGTGGCTATTCAAAATCCATAGTATTGTTGGTAAGAGCGGACCTCAAGTTACAATGGTCAAGTGCCAAGACCTCTTAGTTCTCTATGTTTTTTCAAGTTACTTTTAAGCCCATCTTTAAATATATTTTGCTGTCCAACAACACTCCATTTTCCTTTCTTGAGCTGAGAGTAAATGAACCACTTTGGGAGATGGTGATCAGGCATTTGGACAACGTGGCCAGTCCAGCAGAGGATCATTGCTTCAATGCTGGTGAGCTTTGTTTCTTCCAAAAAGCTGCCTTTTGAGGACCATGCTGATGGAATCATTCTAAAAGTCCAAACTGATGCGTGTAGATGGTCCATGTTTCACAGATGTACAATAGAGTTGGAAGGGCAATAGCTTTATAAACAAGCATCTTGGTATTTCTGGAAATGTCCCGATCCTCGAACACTCTCTGCTTCATTTCGAATGAAGCAGAGATTGAAAGGGCAATATTATTATGTCCTTACAAAAGCATACCAGAGACTGTGAAATAATGACTTGCCTAAAGCCATTCTTTGAGGTCATGTCAGGGTGATGACATTTGAACCAGGTATTTCTTGTGTTGTCGAAGGCTTTCGTGGCCAGAATTACTGGGTTGCTATGGGTTTTCCAGGCTGTATGGCCATGTTTCAGAAGCATTCTTTCATGACATTTGGTCTCCATCTATGGCAGGCATCCTCAGAGGTTGTGAGGTCTGTTGGAAACTAGGCAAGTGGGGATTATATATCTGTGGAAAGTTCAGGGTGGGACTCTTGTCTGTTTGAGGTAAGTGTGAATGTTGCAACTGGCCATCTTGATTAGCATTGAATGGCCTCACAGCTTCAAATCTTGGCTGCTTCCTGCCTGGGGGAATCCTTTGCTGGGAGGTGTTCGCTGGCCCTGATTGTTTCCTATCAGGAATTCCCCTGTTTTTTTAGTGTTGCTCTTTATTTACTGTCCTGATTTTAGAGTATTTTAATACTGGTATCCAGATTTTGTTCATTTTCATGGTTTCCTCCTTTCTGTTAAAAATGTCCACATGCTTGTGGATCTCAATGCCTTCTCCATATAGTCTGACATGGTAGTTGTTAGAGTGGTCCAGCATTTCTGTGTTCTCAAATAATATGCTGTGTCCAGGTTGGTTCATCAGGTGCTCTGCTATGGCTGACTTCATATGGACCACCAAACGCAGCATTGCCCAAACACGAATCAAGGAACATGAAAGGCACTGCAGACTACTTCAACCAGAGAAGTCAGCCATAGCAGAAGACCTGATGAACCGATCTGGACACAGCATATTATTTGAGAACACAAAAATGCTAGACCACTCTAAAAACCACCATTTCAGAGTACACAAATTACCTCCTCCATATATTGATTGTCATCCAAATATATGGAGGAGGTAATTTGAATGCAAAATACCCAAATGCAAAGACTTCTGCAAAAACCATGTGTATTTTAGAAATACTCTCCATGTGCCCAGTGTAGCTGACTCCCTAGTATGCATAGGATCGCTGTCAGGCAACTTTATTGTTCTCAGTGACATTCGTTGTGCGAATAATAGATGATGGAATGTCAAATAGCTGGTATATTCTACAAACATTTTAACTCTGAAGTTTGCTGCATGTAGTCCAGGGAAAATAATTTAACAGTTCATTTCTTAGCTAGAAGTCAAAGGAAAGATTATTGCAATATGATAATTTGAAAAGAGGACATACAGCAAGTTGATTGGGCTGCAATAGAGAAGATTTTACTCTCCAGATGTTACTGGACCTCAACTTCCAGAAGTTCTACCAAGCATAAGGATTGTGGAAATTGAAAGTCCAAAACCTCCGGAAAGCAAACAGTCCCCCAAATCTAGAACAGAAAGTTACATGGAAGAAGTTCCACTTCCTTTCCTTATTATGTGAGTCTGAAGAGAATGGAAATGTATAGTGGTAGCCAAGAATGTGACTGTGAAAACTGATCAAGAAACACAGCACAGAATGGAACTGTGTGCTGGATTTTCCTCCTCAGTTTAGCAAACTTTGAGAAGAATGGTTTTTCACTGGTCATCAGTACCTCTGTGTTTTTGCAACAGAACCTGTATTTTCTCTTGCAAGAATTGTGCTCTTTGCTAGACAAGTACAGGAGTCTATATCTGACAGTGGTTTGCTCTAGAGCAGTGGTTCTCAACCTGTATGTCCCCAGATGTTTTAGCCTTCAACTCCCAGAAATCCTCACAGCTGGTAAACTGGCTGGGATTTCTGGGAGTTGTAAGCCAAAACACCTGAGGACACACAGGTTGAGAAACACTGATCAAGAGGGAGTTATAAAATGTTTGGCCTCCAGATGTTGTTGGACTCCAATACCCATTTTTCAATTCTGCCAAATGGTGATGGATAAGGGCAATAGTTGTTCATCAACATCCACTTTACATTCTTTAACAGATTCAATACCCTTGTTTTAGACCAGAGAATTGGTGGGAGGCCTGCTGGACAGCAATTTCCCTAGCCAGCTCAGCTAATCGTGAGGGATGCTGGCAGTTGTTTTCCAACAAAATCTGGGAGGGCTTCATAATAACCCATAAATCTTGTTCCAAAGGTCTAATAGCTAGAACGGATTATGTAGTTGATAGGGCAAATGTCTTCAGAAAACCTCATGTTATAGAATCTGTTCATAATGGTGAGCAGAATACTTTCTTACCTACTGTAAGGAGACCTTGCAAAACATAGTAAAATGCATAATGTGCTCTGTGTCATTGGTTGACAAACTGACCCACCTTTTTCTTCTGTGCTCTGTAGCTAGCAAGACAACTCCACACGCTATGAACCACCTATTCTGCTTATAAAAAACTATTATGGACTGACATATTTCACTAGCAGTAGTACACATTTTGAAACAGCCCATAAACACGACTTATTTGGCTCCCATCAATGTCATGCAATGCCACCCTTGCTGCTGACAGCATGGTTCCCATAGTGACAAAGTACTTAAAGTAGGTAAAAGCCAAGGGGCTACACGGAGGGGAAAGCGAGCCAACAAAAGACAAATTATACTTGACTGCACCCCCATTGGCAGAAGTCAAATAATGGCACACTGCGAGAAGCTATAAAGTTGGTTTATTGCTCTCATCCCAGACTTGTAACAATAAATTTTTATAGCAGTCACACACACCTCAGTTCATTTGAAGACGGGCCTGTTTGGGGGGGAACTGAATAGTCTGGGTGGCTTCTGTGCCCATGTAGGCTGCTTTCTGGAAGCAACAGAAACTCTCAAAAGCAATCTGATTCAATTCCTGACCTGAATCTGGTACATTTTCGCACCTTAAGAAGTCTGGGGGAACCATGAAAATAGTGTTGAAACCCCATGGTCACCTTTTGGCCACCCTTGGCCCACGAACTGAAAGTGCCACATCAGAGAACAGGACTGAAACTCCTCCTCCTCCTCTGCATTTCTATAGCACCACCACTGAAGAACATACATAAAGAAATAAACAAATATCCATACCAAAGGTGTACAAGATAATAAAGATGGAACTATAAGGGAACAAGGAGATTGATACATTACAAAAACAAACAAACAAGTAGTACAATTACACATAAACAACAGTATTTATAATTTATTAACACAGTTCCATCTCATCCCTTGTATCTGCATCAACTTGAGAACAACAAAGAATCTGCTGTAAGATATACTGTGTGGGAATGACGGACAGTGTCATCGTAAAGGGACAAAGTTGAAAAACATCTCATTGTTGCAGCAGTCCAGAGTTGTGTATTTTCTTTCCTCTTCAGTGTGCCATTCACTTCCTTTTGTAGGTAAGGAATTCTGGTAGTAGTGATGCCCAGAATCTGCAATGAAGTAGGACTCTTCCAGTGGAAGCTGGCAGAAGGTTGCAGGGACGTTGTTGCTGTTACAGTTTAGGTGGGTTTTTCCTTCATACACATCTTCTCCAACTGTACCTACATTAGATCTGAATGAATGGTAACCTACCTTGATGGTCGGCTCCCATCTATGAGGAGCAGGCTGGATACTCAAATCAAGAGTGTTTATGGAGGTGAACGTTTCACAAGATAAACCTGGAAGATACATACTTGAGCCATTGCAATATTTCTCTGCCATGGGATTTCTCCCTAGGTCTATGGTCTTGTTCCAGATTTGTGCCTCTCGGTATTCAGAATAAGAAGAGGCTGAAGGTTCAGTTGGGTCAATGCAGCTAATGTAGCCACCATTTCCAGTTTGTTTGTACTTGTCCAAATATTGATTGTAGTTGAGATCCTGCTCCAGTAGGTAAGATGGTTTCCCAGAACCAGGGCTTTTGGTAACAGACAAGCAATGGTTTGGCATTGTCTCTAGAGGGGTTTTGGGTCTGAAATGTCCACTGAATGTACTATGTGACATAAAGTCTTCCTGTCTGGAAACAGTTAATGGTAACATGTCCTGGCATGACATCTCACCTGTCAGGGACTTAAGAAAGAAAATGCATCAGAATGTTATGCAGTTCAACCAAAGTACCATTAGTTCTAAGAGCAGCACTCTTGAACTAGAAGACCACACACATGCACACAAACTCAGGGTGAAGAAGGGATGGGGGTTTGATACTTGAACATTCTGGTATTTTAGCTACAATATTAGTCTGTTATGGGAAAAAATCCATGAATTATCCCATCGAGTGTACCTAGTGACCTTATTAGATGGGGGGAATTTAGGGTCCTGGGATGCTTTCACCCTGTCTTCCGGATGGAGCCCCATGCTGGCCATCTCACAATGTCGTGTGACTTCCGGCGGAGGCCCTGCTCCCAATCGCGGTGAAAGCATCACCGAGACTTTCATCACAACATGGCTTCCTGTGTTGTGCTGACTCCAATGGAGCCAGCATGGGCCCTCTGTGGGAGGGTGATGCTTCCCCCATGTGATGGGGAAAGCGTTACCAAGAGGGAGCTGCATGTGGGGCAACAGATTTGTCCCGCTGTCCCTCTCCTTTCACTGCGATGCCAGATGAAGTGGGATGTTTCGCCTGGCCTTTATGATAAGGCGATTGGTCTATTAGTAAATTTGTCCATGTTCTACTCTCTCCTTGCATTAGCTTTTTGTCTTCTCTGTATCCCTCCTTTAAATTCTTTTCCTTAGTCCCCTTGTTACTTTGATCCATCCTTCAATCTCCTTTCTTCCATGCTCATTCTGTTCTCCTCGTGTCTTTGGAACATATTCTTTCTTCTTTCAGTATATCCTCTCTGAAGTTTAAGAACAAGACAAACTGACAACTTTCATTTCCCTCACTAGATGCAATATGGGTAGTATTCAGTAAGATTACTATAATAGTTTGTAATTTCCTCCTTCCTTCCTTCCTTCCTTCCTTCCTTCCTTCCTTCCTTCCTTCCTTCCTTCCTTGTTATAGAGATATAATACATCAATGCACTGTGAAGAAGCCCTTTGCACAGGGGCGGCTCAACCCATTACGCAAAGTAAGCATTTGCAGTATAGTTGATTTTGCCCAGGGGCACTCTTAGGGGAAAATAGACCTTGACATATGCGAATTGTAGTTACTGGGATGTATAATTCACCTAAAATCAAAGAGCATTCTGAACTCCACCAATGATAGAATTGAGCCAAATATGGCACACAGAACTCCCACGACGAACAGAAAATATATATCAGTGATTGGGCGGGGCAAAATACTGTTTGCTTACCATTGAAAATTACCTAGGGCCACCTCTGCCTTTGCACTATAACTCTACCTCTAAAAAAAAATTAAACTTAAACTAGAAGAATAAATTGTATTTTTAGTTATTGTTGATTTAAAACACTGATTTTTTTAAAAATCACTCTGAGCTGCCACCAAAAACAACAGAAATAATAAATTTGGATGTGATAGCAACTGACAAAGCTCAGAAAAACCGAACAACATTTCTCAGCAGAATTCACATTCTTTAAACAAGTTTGGAATTTCTCTATTTCTTTTTTCTGTGTCAGGAGCAACTTGAGAAACTGCAAGTCGCTTCTGATGTGAGAGAATTGGCTGTCTGCAAGGACATTGCCCAGGGGATGCCCAGATGTTTTTGATGTTTTACCATCCTTGTAGGAGGCTTCTCTCATGTCCCCACATGGGGAGCTGGAGCTGACAGAGGGAGCTCATCTGCGCTCTCCCCAGATTCGAACCTCGAGACCTGTCAGTCTTCAGTCCTGCTGACACAAAGGTTTAACCTGCTGCACTACTGAGGGCTCCGATTTATCTAATGAGCCACGCTAATATCTTTGCAGTTGGAGAGGGAACAAGTCCAGCCTTTGTTAGCATAGATCTTTTAATAGATTCCCTGCCCAGTTCAGGGCCACTTGAAATTTAACATGCTTTCTTACTGTTTATAACAGTGAGCACTTTCCAAATTAATAGAAAAATGTTTACCTCTGTATCCCGGTTCCGTTTAACCCTTGATGAAGCTGACATGTGAGTTTTTTGTAATGACCGCCTGGCTTCTGCTTCTGCTTTTGTTTCTGGTCTTGGATGATCGTGAGCGCCCTTTGACTGAAAAAGGAATAGATATACCACGTGAACAAGTCTTAGATACCTGCAACAACAGTGCAATTTCCAACATCACATACTTGCTACAGAAAAGAAATGCAAGATTTGTAAATGGTCTCTGTGTCTCACTGAGCTTTGCATGTCTTTCTTCCAAGAGTGTGTTTCATTTTTTATTCAAGTTGCTGGTTAAATGAAAATCTCTTGTTCTGGGCTGGTGATTATATTTGCTTAAGTGCCGAGCTAATGTGGAATAGTGGTTTGAGTGTGACAGCCTCACTAGATGTGTGATTTTAGCAAGCTAGGACGCTTTCACCGGACGCTACAACCTCAACACGGGAGGCTTCCCATGTTGTGCTGGAGCCAGCATGGGACCACTCCACAATAGCAACGTTTTCCCCATGTGATGAAAGTGTCACCAATGGGGAGCTGTGCACAGTATGACAAATTCAGCCCTGCTGCTCCCCTTTTTCCTCATAAAAGCCTTTCAAAGTGGAACACTTCTCCAGGGTTTTCTGGTCCCTAGGTTACAACATTGGAGACCATGATTCAAATCTCTCTTCTGCCTGACCTTGAGTAAATCTTGCTTTAAAAACTCCTGTGACAGGGTCACCATAGGGCTTAAACTACTTGAAAGCACAATAACAACAGCAAAGTAAAAACACTCTAAATATTTGCATTGCTCTACGTGGAAACATGTGTTCATAGACTTTCTACTTTCTGCGAAAAGCATAGTAACTGGGGAAATAATAGTAATTGTAACTTATTGGAGGGATCTTTTCGCAGGGAAAAATGCTGCCATGACTTCTTTCCATGCTGATTCACCAGTGAACACTTGGATTGCTTCCACATTCACACCCAAGGTTATGCTAGCAGGCCGTTTAAGGCCATTAATGGTTGACATGCTATGCGTGCTTTTTTGACAGTCAAATACCACTGAGCCCAGTGAGACTTGTTTCTTAATAGACTCATACATATCTGGTCTCTCAATAATGGAATTCTTTCACACGTTGTAGCACACTTCTTAACTTGATGATATCCAGATATTGAGGCTCTGGCTCCTAGGATTCCTGCCCGCTCTCACTTAAGGTCTCTAAAACATTAGAAAGCTGGACCAGAGATTGTAAATAAAACAGTAGAATCATACAGTTGGAAGAAACCTTGTGGGCCATCTAATCCAATCCCCTGCCAAGAAGCAAGAAAATCATATTCAAAGCACCCCTGACAGATGACCATCCAGCCACTGCTTAATAAGTTACAATTAATTGAGTTACCTTCAGTTCTTTTTTTCTGTAAAAAGGGCATCAAGAAGTTATATTTCATAATATATATAAGGATTATGAAACATCAGCAAATAGAGACTAAAATCTTATTGGGGGATTGTGATGGAATAAATTGCTGTAGTGGTTTGAGTGCTGGGAGATTAAGATTTGAATCTCTGATTAGTCATAGAAAACCATTGGGTGACTACAGCCAAATCTTTCCAAGCCTCAAAGGAAGGTAGAGGCAACCTCCTCTAAACAAATCTTGCCCCCCTCCCAAAAAGAAACCCCATGATAGGGTTACCTTAAGGTCACCATAAACTGGAAATGACCTGATGGCACACAACAAAAAGTTGGACTCATTGCAACAAACTTTTCAGTCTGTGTGAAGGCTGAAATTTCTTACCAATAACACAACAACCAAAATCTCCCTAAATCCACTTTTTCAATAATACAGCCTCTACGTGGTTTTTTAAATATGCTGGCCAGCAGGAGATTCATAAGAACATGTCCAGCCATTTTTTAATAGATGGATGTGCTTCAAGGATGTCAACCATAACAATTTCCTAAGGACACCATTGGAAGATGCCTGTTACAGAAAGTCCAGCTACAGGAAAACAGCTGGATTCAGTTGTAGCCACTTCCAGTGTACTATGGGTTTCTGGCACAGTAGGGAAAAAAACCCAACCCTGCTTGTCTTCCATTTTTTCCAGGATGCAACAGAGTGTGTGATCTGTTGTACATTTTCTCCATGTTTGCCTCACGTAGCCAGTTGGATTTGGAAGGAGTACAAATATAAGTACATACAACCCCTGTATTCTCAGCACTGGTAACAATGATTTCTTTTCCTTTATCCATGACAAAATATCTCCAGGCATTTTTAGATCTTTGACCATTACTCTATGTATTCTTGGCTAGAAGTCCTTCATCTCAGTAAGGTTCACCATTATCTGTGTTTTCATGTGTTTATGTAAGATTTGGGAACGTATCACTTGCAGATACGGGGATCACACTGTAAGTAGTTGCCAAACTGAAATTCTTAATTTATCTATTCCACTTTTAAATGGGACTCTCTTTAATCCAGTGAAGCACATGTCCCACAGTGTTTAACATTTAACAATAGACTTCCCTTAGGCAAATTATCCTACCTGAAAAAATATGTATGGTCCTTCATGTCTCCAGAAGTTGGTTACAGGGTACCCACCATGGCCACGACAGGGGATAAGTTTCAAAGGCCCATTACAGTTAGGACACGATTTCCCTGTGAGAAGTGGACCATTAAAGAACAATTTTCAAATAGACTGAATGTCAAGTTTAATATTTATTGTCACCATGTCATACTCCTTAATTCAAAGAGATAGATACTATAGACCAGGCCTTCACAACCTGTGGCCCTCCAGGTGATTTAGAATTCGGTTCCCATAATTCTTGACCATTGGACAAGCTGGCTAGGACTTGGTGAAGAAGAGCATCAGAAATATGTGCTCCTTGATCTGCTAACTGCAGATGGACATCATCAAGCCTCCATAGAGTCTTGGTCTTTAAATCCTTGGTCTTTAAATATGGATAACCCTTTCAAAAGAGTCCACCTGCCCTCAAATCTGTTCTCAGAGTTCTCCAAATAGAGGACTCTGCAGAACACAAGTCTACCTTATGAGAATTTTCTCTGTTTCCTTTTTTCTAGAGTTAGTGCCATATAATTCAGCGCAATCTTCTCCTGAGCCAATGTCCATAAGATCAGACTACATCTACCTCAGCATGTAGTGTATAGGTTGTCTCTACAACCTATACAAAATTACAAAATTCAATTACAGTAGAGTCTTGCTTATCCAACCATCTCTCATCCAACGTTCTGTATTATCCAATGCAGTCTGCCATCCACCCAGATCCACAGCTATTTCAATACATTGCAATGTTTTGGTGCTAAATTTGTAAATACAGTAATTACTATATACATGTACTGAACTGCTTTTTCTGTTGACTTGTTGTAAAAAAAACATGATGTTTTGGTGCTTAATTTGGAAAATCATAACGTAATTTGACATTTAATAGGCTTTTCCTTAATTCCTCCTTATTAGCCAACATTTTCACTTATCCAACGTTCTGCTGACCTGTTTATGTTGGATAAGTGAGACTCTATTGTACCCCCTGGGTGCTGTCTGTGGGAGTTCTATGGAGGCCCAGCTGGAAATGGAGACCCAAGTTTAATTGCAGGAAGCCCAAGCTAAGCAATCCCAAAATTTTCAGACAGAAACATACTCACTTTGTTGCTTTTGCCTGGCCTTGTCACATATGGCTGGTCTCAGGTACATCTTCCTCGCAGGAGGGACAGAGCAATCATTGCTACAGATCACAACTCCAAGGCAGGACTTTTTCAAGATGCGGGAGTTGTGATTGTTGGTGTTGCGCATGGCCCAGCTGCTCAGGTGCCTCTGAGCGTTTTTATCATCAGCGCTATAGATGCATTTTATGTAGGAATCTGGCCATTCCTGAAACCGATCTGTTCGTTTCACGTTCTGTTAAAAACCCAAAGAATGTTATGTTTGCAGCCAAGGAAACAAGAACAAAGATGCACCCCTCAACTTGCAGATTTCAAAAACAGCAAATCCAATCTGCAATATAGGCCTGGCACTAAGGAACAGGGTTTTTGTAAGATACACACAGAGAAAATTTACACAAATACAAACAGAAAATATTTGGAATTGATTCCCTAAGTTTTCAGCCTGACATCCACAGCTCTAAATGCCACCATTCTTGGGATGTGTTACAAATCTAAAAAAACTAAAATGACAGAAGAAAACTGGAGGGCGGTGTGATATGTCATTTGGTATAACCATCATACAAAGTCTTGTTATGGATTTAGGATCAGCACGGTTAAGAAGACAAGGCACAGTCTAGCCAAATTAGGCATGCGTATAAAGATCCATTTTAGTGGTAGGAATTCAAGTGTGCCTAACTTTCATAACTTCAGTTAAAGGCTCTTAGCTTCAGTTGTATCATACCCAGGCTTTTTCAAAGTGCACTGGCCTCTGAAACTGTGAAACCTCCATAACATATTTATACAATAATGGATTTTCTTCTGTCAGATTCATATTCCCTGCCTGACTTGCCTGCTTCACTGGAGGTGAACTTCTCAACATTTAGGATAAAACTTTGTGCATACTATGATTCATTTGTCTTTTGTTCTGTTTGTCACACTACACTTGCTTGATCATACAACCTTAGTACATTATATCTATCTAAAATGAAGACTGTAGTAGGATTTTGGACCCAGTCTACTGATTACTTTGGATATCTCCTGACAAGCATTTCAGATCTCTATATTTTTGCATTTATGAACCAATTTTAACCAAATTCGGATTAAGACCCTGCATCATATTAATTCCATCAGGCATAACTATGTGTCTTCCCCTATCTGCTCAATAGACATTTCTTTTCTGGCTGTGGATCCATTCCTACAATCGTTCACTAACCAGGGAAGGCTGGGAGAAGGAGAAGGAAGAGCCAGGCAGCCGTTTGGCTCTGTTCTTGCGGCTGCCTGCAAGAAGAAGGCAGCATTCTGCTGGATCTCCTGGAAATCTTTCAAAGGTCCAGAAGGACATGTCATCTTCCTGTGGGTGACTGATAGAAAGGAGTCTGACGTCTGTCTGTCTGTCAGTCACTTTCTCCTAGGGTGGGCCATTGAAAATCCATAGGGATCTGTGCCCAAGCAGAAAGCAGCATGTGGTTTAGTAGAGAGCTCTGAACAGACGGCAATTCCAAACATATTCCTCCATCAGCATGAACCAACCTTAAGAAATGGGGCCACAAAGTGGAGTCCATGACATGCAAGTGTGGAGAACAGAAAATCACAGACCACCTATTACAATGCCACATGTGCAATGGAGGACCCTTGTATTTCAACTCCCTTTGATGTCCCAACAGTGGATTTTAAGGAAAATTGTTTGTTTTGGTCCAGGGATGCTGATGTTATAGGGAACCAGAGTGTCCACTGGCTTGAGCTGTGAACTATGACAGGAGACCAGGGTTTGAATTGCCACTCGTTGAATGATCTTGGGCAAGTCACATTCTTTCAGTCTCAGAGGGAGGCAAAGGCAAATCTCCATTTATACAAATCGTGCCAAGAAAATCCCATAATAGATTTGTGTTAGGGTTACTGAAATGACTTGAAACACTACAGTTGATGCAATGCAACAGTTCTGAGGATACTAGAGTCTAATCTCTAAGATATCTTATTATATATGTATGTGAAAATATAGGTATTTCCAAATGTGTGTGTGTGTGGGGGGGGGAATCTCAAAATTCAAAACACTTTTGGCCCAGAGCATTTTTGGATAAGGGATATTCAACTTACACAGTCGTGTGCAATCTATGGCCCTGAGGCTATGTGCTGTCTCCACATCGTCTCCACATCCAGTCCACTTTATCCTTCAATCCTGATCACCAAAAGCTTCTTGTAACCTCACAATCCTGCTTCCAAGATTTCTATGGTCCTACGTCTCAAAGCACAGCTATAGATCTGCAGGTCCTGGTACCCTCAGGGGTGGCCTAATGAAACTGCTCTTGTTCTCATGACAGACTCATTGACATCTAAAAATATTTCATTTATGAGTGACTATAGTTACAGCCTTTTGCATTTCACTGATGCTTGCATAATGCCCAGGAATGAAGAATGTGGTCAAAGAAGGCGAGACAATGATATGGAACATTGATAAGCCAACCTTTAGGTGAAATGAATGTATAAGCTACCAAACCTATTCAGGCCATTATGACGATCATTTCACAATATACAAGGAGCATATACAATATAAAATTAATGCAGTTTTATACCAATTTGTCTCAATGCTATGCAATCTTGGTATTTGTAGTTTTGCAAGGTCTTTAGCTTCCTCTGTCAAAGAGTGCTGGTGCTTTAAAGGTAAAGGTTTCCCCTTGACATTAAGTCTAGTCATGTCTGACTCTGGGGGTTATTATTATTATTATTAAACTTTATTTGTACCCTGCTAGCATCTCCCAAAGGACTCAATGCGGCTTACAAAGGCCAAGGCCTCAACACACAATACAACAATACAAACCAAAGGCAAATTAAAAACAATTAAAGCAATATAAACAACAAGCAATAAACAATACACTAAGACACAATAAAACTGGGCTGGGCCAGAGTAATGGGTACAGGATTAAAAGTGCTGATGTGACAGGTGGTGCTCATCTCCATTTCTAAGCTGAACAGCCAGCGTTGTCCATAGACACCTCCAAGGTCATGTGGCTAGCATGACTGCATGGAGCACCATTACCTTCTAACCAAAGTGGTACCTATTGATCTACTCACATTTGCATATTTTGAACTGCTAGGTTGGCAGAAGCTGGGACTAACAATGGGAGCTCACCCCACTCCCCGTATTCCAACTGCCAACCTTTCAGTCAGCAAGTTTAGCAGCTCAGTGGTTTAACCCGCTGCACCACTGGGGACTCCTTAGGTGCTTTACTAAACTACAAATTCAATGATTCCATAGCATTGGCTCTTGTCAGCCAAACTGGTACCAAACTGCATTAACATATATAGTTTAGAGCCAACCATGGAGTATAGCACCTAGACTCTAAGGTATATAGTTGACATTCTTAATGGTGAAACTCTCAACAAACTTGAAGAGTTTTGAATGAAAATGTGAACTAAATTGTAGGAGAATGTTATATATGATAATGCTGTCAAGGGCTTGAATCCAGTCTATGTCATACTTAGGGCTGGTCTTCTGACGTAATGGGATTCAAGCCAACTGTGACAACTTAAGTCTCATTGATTTCAAAAGGTGCTTTCCAGTCCGTCCCATTCATGTGGTTGGCCCATGAGGTCTCTTCCAACTCTATGATTTATGCCTAATCCAACAGTATTCCACAGGGAATATCTGCAGAAAAAACTAATCCAAGTTCCAATCCACCATGTTTTTTTTTTCCTTTGGAGAAGACATTCTTCTTTTTTAAAATTTACTTTCTTATATAAGAGGTTCAGAAACTCTGTGGCCAAGCAAGTGTTTTCAGTCTCCGGCTCCCACAAGTCCAAGTTAGCATGACCAGTGGCAAGGAATTATGGGAGCTGTAATCCAACTTGTTCCTCGTCTCTGTTCTGTAGTGTGTCAACATATGCTCAAAGCACTCTATCAATGAAGAAATGAAGAAACAAACAATCCATATTAACATTTCTAAGGATAGATTATGATTTTCCAATGAGTTCTTTTAAAATAAGCTCCAGATGCACTTACCTTGGGGAGCTTGATGTCATTGATGTCCCAGCTGAACATTTCCCCATTTGGGAGAGCTGAGTCTTCCTGGTCCATGCTAGCATCATCTGTCATTCCCAGCATGTTAGGACCGTTCCTCCAGACTCCCCAAGAGCCGTCTCTACTGTCAGTTTTTGAAGCTGTGGGACAGCCACCGCTCACAAGCCATTTAGAACCAGGAAGCTGTTTCCCAAAGCGAAATGATAGGCTGCTCATTAAAGATAAAAATCTGTATTCTTTTGCTAGAAAAACTTGTTCCATTCAAAGTTTTGCAAGCGCCACAGATAATGGAAAGCATAGCTTCAAGACAGGAGTGTGATTTTACAGGGAGGACATTGGCACAACTAAAGCAAAATGTTCCAAATATAAGTCCTTAGTGGAATTCATGCAATCAGAAAATGCACTTGTTGTATAGTTAAACCCACACTTTGTAGTAAAGAATGAGCAACTATTGTTTCTCTGACCGGTTAGAAACAATCTCAAATGGCTCAAACACCATAGAACGCTAATGTATGTTTGTCTTTTCATGTGGGGTGTCTTCCATTCTGGTTCCAATGTAGCTAATGATCTTTTGAAATCCTACTGAGAGCTTGGGAGTGTTTATCCATTAGCTTAGTTAAGAGTCGAGAGAGATAGGATGCTGGAGGTGTGCCTTCCGATGTTGGCCATTTCAAGTTAGAGTTGAAAACTAACATGGAATAGCACGGGAGCACGGTAGTGGCACTGCAAAAAGAGAGTTACTTCCCATGTGCAAATCTGCTCTTCAGCAAGATGCTGCTAATCACAGTTTGGGAGGAATTAATTTTTGGACTACAACTTCCAGAATCCGCCAAGTTGCCTAGTTGGGGGTACTTGGAATTGTAGTCTAAAAATATTTTTTTCAAGCTTTAATGCTATTTCCCCACTAGAGAAAATTTAGAGGTATCATCGACCCAGGTTTGATTTTTGCTGAGTTGATTACTTGTAGATGTTATTATAATGTTCTCTCTAGAAATTTGTAAGTCCCTCAGTGCAATCTGTGGTCAATTTCAGCTGGAAATTGACCATAGATCCATGCTGGATGAACAAGTGACTGGGTTGCTGAGAGTTTTCCAGGCTGTATGGCCATGTTCCAAAAGCATTCTCCCCTGATGTTTTGCCCACAACCTCTGAGGATGCCTACCATAGATGTGGGTGAAACATCAGGAGAGAATACTTCTGGAACATGTCCATACAGCCTGGAAAACTCACAGCAATCCAGTGATTCCGGCCATGAAAGCCTTCAACAACACATTGAACTAGAGATTCCTTTAAAAAATAGTAAAAATTGTACTTGTGTTTTTTAATTTTGTCAGGATCCTGTGTCCCTAACCCTAATGAATGTGGAAGGCTGATTGTAACAGTATATATTCACCACAGAGGCAAAATTGCAACTTGGAGTATGTGGTTTAGGCCAGTGAAGAGGGGTAAAGCTAAAGGTTAATTCTGCTCCCACTATATTGGTACAGAGATCAAAATATGGAAATCTAAATATGGGGATACAAATATGGCTACTTTTAGCTAAAAATATCAATGTTGGCATATCAGATCATGAATGTCCTGTGACTCAGCTGGCCCTTGCAGTCATAACATCACAGAACCATAGAGTTGGAATGAATGTATGGTGGAGGCTCCTTCTTTGGAGGCTTTTAAGAAGAGTCTGGATGGCCATCTGTCAGGTGTGCTTTGAATGTGATTTTCCTGCTTCTTGGCAGTGGTTAGAGTGGATGGCCTATGAGGTCTCTTCCAACTCTATGATTCTATTCTATGGAGGCCTTCTTTATCTCTTCTAGTCAATGCCCCTCCTTCTGTGATACTCCTTAGCCACGAACACCCACCTTGTTGCCAATCTCCACAATGTGTGCATGAATATCTGTGCTTTCCTTATTCAAGCCATAAGGTTCTTGGCTGTTCCAACAATGATTTGCTACTCAAATGCTCATTGCTAATGTCATGACATTATAGGTTGAAAAATGCTGGTGCATCAGGATGGAATTAAAAGGAAAGATTCCCCAGGAATCATAAACTATGCTGGACATATGACAAATAGATCCCATTTTAATAGGAGTCCCCAGTGGCGCAGTGGGTTAAACCCTTGTGCTGGCAGAACAGCTGACCAAATGGTCGGCAATTCAAATCCAGGGAGTCAGGTGAGCCCCTATCTGTCAGCTCCAGCTTCTCAAGGGGGGACATGAGAGAAGCCTCCCATAGGATGGTAAAACATCGGTGAATCCCTGGTGCAACGTCCTTGCAGATGACGAAATTTTCTCACACCAGACGCAACTTGCAGTTTCTCAAGTCGCTTCTGACATGAAATAAACAACAACATTTTGATCACACTCTGTTTTGGAGGAGTGAAAGAAATATGTCACCAGAGGTGGGGTGGAACCTACATTGTCATATTAGGTTAAAGGAAAAGAAAGGAAACTTTAGAATGGTCTGTGGGTATAGCCATCTCTACCATGAGACTGCTGAAATACTCCACTGAAAATTACAATGACAGACTAGGAGGCAATCTGGGGTGCCAGCCAAATATATCCACCTCAAGGTGAGTCCTGGGATTATCTACAAGTGCATGGAAATGGTGTAATAGCACACCACTTTGACTACCATGGCTCAATGCTATAGAATCTGGGAGTTGTAGTTTGGTGAAGCACCAGCACTCTTTAGCCAAGAACGTCAAACTTCTCTGCCATTTTGACTCCCATGATTCCATCGCATTGAGCCATGGCAGTCAAACTGCATTAATTGTAAAGTGTAGATGAACTCTTAAGTGAACACTAAACAGATTCAGAGTGGGATAAGGAAATAAATTGAGGAAAGAGCTTTTCCGAGTCCCTTCGGGGAGATGGTGGACGGATACAAATAAAGTTTTATTATTGTTATTTATTAAAGAAATGGAACATTGATCAGCTGACAATAAGATTGCAGCTATAGGCTCCTGCTCCAACAACATTATTTTTTTTACAACACCCATTGGGTTTCACCTGACTTATTTTGGACTTTGCTTTCTGCTAATTGCACTTATGGCCCAATAGATGGCAGCGCAGGCATCCTTTCTGCAAAGAGTGCCCTTGTCCAAGGAGGAGTCTGCTCAACAAAAATAGCATTTGTAACCCTATTTATCTGCAAGTATCATTTTATGACTTTGAAGTGATTTCCACTGAACGACGCTTGAAAGCACATTGGTGTGTGCTTTCCCCATTATTCAATGACTTCAGATTCCCATGCATATTGCTAGTTGTCTCAATCTCTTTGTCAAAAGAGGGATATAGTGTGACAATACATCATGATTGCCATATCTATAGGGGATACATTCCAAGATCCCCCATGGTTACCTAACACCATGGATGACAGAGAACCCTATATTTTGACAATACTTGGGCTGGACACATCCTTTAGAATAGTGGTTCTCCACCTTTTTTTGACCAGGACCCGCTTTGACCAGGACCCACTTAACCAAGGACCACTTGACCAGGGCCCGCGTTGACCAGGACCCACTTGACCAGGGCCCACTTAACTAAGGACTACTTGAACAGGGATGACTTTGACCAGGGCCTACTTGACCAGGGCCTGCTTTGACCAGGGCCCACTTAACCAAGGACCACTTGTATAGGGACCATTTTGACCAGGGCCTACTTGACCAGGGCCCACTTAACGACGGACCACTTGAACAGGGACCATTTGACCAGGGCCCGCTTTGACCAGGGCCCACTTTTATCAGGGCCCACTTGATCAGGGTCCACTTGATCAGGGCCCACTTAACCAAGGACCACTTGAACAGGGACCATTGAACAGGGCCCACTTGTATATTGTTTTTAAGGCATTGAATTATTGCCTATGCTGTAAGCCACCTTGAGGCAGGATATAAATATAATAAATAAATAAATAATCCACTCTGGGTTTTAGTCCAAACTTTAAAGGAGCTGTGTGAGGCACTGAGCCATATCCTTAAAGTAGATTGAGGTCCTTTGATATTTTTTTTTAAAGTTCAGACTAGGGATCTAAATGGATTCATCACTCCAGAGGTGGCTGCCTTCCTTTACTTTCTTGCACTGGCTTTCAAGGAAGGCTAGTTGGTGATTAAAGAAAAAAGATGGTCTGGGGAGCCCTGCTCTTGATCCCACCTTCTTCGCAAGCGCTTCTTGCATGGACGAGGCACAGGGCCTTCTCAGTGGTGGCCCCTCGGCTATGGAACTCCCTCCCTAGGTATATTAGATCAGCCACCTCCCTCCTGACCTTCCAAAACAAGTAAAAACCTGGCTCTTTGAACAAGCCTTTGGAAATGCAGTGCAATAGACAAACATGGAATTGTGTAAGTCTGAAACATGGAACGGCTTAGACGATGCTACTGCAAAGTGAGATTAACAGGAAGACATTGGTTATTATATGTTTTAATGGTTTTTGTATTATATTGATTTTATATTGATTTTATAATCCTATTTTAAATGTTTTAATTGTATATTGTGAATTATTATGGCATTGAATTGCCAATTTGTAAGCCGCCTTGCCAATTTGTAAGCCATCACTTTCGAGCTTGAAAAGGCGGGATAGAAATATCGCAAATAAATAAATAAATGCCTAAAGACCTCCAGCTCATAATTCAAGAGACCGATGCATAACCATGTCCCTTGAACACAATGTACCCTCCACTGAGGCGGATTCCTGTGCTTTAAATGACATGCCATAAACCACTTAGAGAGTAGTTTGTCAGCCTAGGTCTCAGTTTATGGCAAGTTGCTAGCAATTAATGTGAGTTTTTAAAAAGCAAAATTCTTTCTTGGGCAGATAAAGTCGTAATATTAAGCTATGGGCAACATTTAAAGGGAGTTCAAAGAGGCTGCAGCAATCTGGCAGAGCCCCTGCCTTGGGCACTGTGTGGACCTTCCAGCAAGTGCCCTCATGGCCTTTTGCTCACTGCTCCCAGGGCACTGCTGAGTCCTATGGAGACACTCATGGAGCTATCCTGGGATGTTTACACTGAAATATTTATACTGAATGCTGTCATTTTTTGTTCATTCCCTTTGGAGAACACTTCTGGTGCAAGTGATCTAATCACCACCTGA